CTTGCAGGAACTTAGGAATAAAGAGTTCATGTCAGATATGCCAATTATATTTTTTAAATTAGTATTTCTCTTTTCATTTAAAATGCCTTTTCTCTTTGTGATTAATTTTACACTTTGAATCCTTCAAGCTAGAATGCAAAATATGAAGTTTTTGAGACATCTTTGTTCCAATACAGGGTATTACAAATATAAGTAGTTCAAACTAAAATATGAATTATTTTGTTAGTATCTAAATACAGAAGAAAATTTAAAGGATTGCCTTAGCTCATCAGAACTGAAACTGGAATCAGAAGTCCTAGTGTCTATGAGTCAAGCAAGTGCATCATTCTGGAGATCACTTTCCTTTGTCATCCCTAAAGTAGGATGCCCCGTGTGGAAAATTGCATGGCAATGATCCTGACAGAAATATGCAGGATAACTCTGTAATTCTTTGAGATTCATGGTAGATCTAGACATTTAATAATATTTTTCTTTTTACAAAGTTATATATCACTATCTTCAAATTTCCATCTTGCTTTAAATATGAGAACCTGGCTTTTTGCTACAAGATTTAGGGTGCTCATTTCCAACAGTTGCTTGTATTCCTACATCAGTATACATTCTAATTAATCATTTGATATTTAAAAATTATCATGTCTTCCTCAAAACCTGGGTAGATATCATCTAGGACTCAGGGAAACATGATTTCTCATGTGGCTTTTAAAATGTTTGCACTATGAGCTCTAAGTGTGCAAGAAGAAAATTGGGCACATTGCTAGCACACAACTTATTCATACGATTTTTGGAATTTCAACATTTTCAGAATAAAAGATTGAGCAGAACGTCTGAAAGTCCAAATATGTCCATGAAGTGAAGTTTTGGGGGGAAAGAACCAGGAAAGGAACCCACAGGCCATCAACAGAAGATATGCTCATGAAGTTCTTATGTAATGTTTGTGGATTCATGTTTAACAAAAGAAAAGAGCAGGTTAATGAAAACAATGTATGGATTCTTCCTGAAAGAATCAGAAAAATGAATTACTTAGAGTTAGGTAAAGATTTCTATCGGAGGCATCATTAAAGAAACAAGAATAATTCAAAAGAACTACACTCCTCAAGTCTAAATATCTGTTTTTGATCCAGCTCTGCCACTATTCAGTAGTAGATCTTGTTCAAATCACTGGATTGAATGTCATCAGATTAAATTATTTCAAGGTTTTTGCAGCTCAGAGGTTCTCTGTATAGTTTCAGTTTCAAATTCTTCAAATTCTTTCAAACCTTACTCCTTTTTAACGGTTGATGACACTACCCTATGTATATGTAAATCATGCATAGTCTTTTAAAAGAATGTGTTGCAAATATAAAGTAGTGATTAGACTGCATGATTTATAAAAGCTAAGGCTATTTCAGAACCCTCAACTAGTTACAGTGGTCTTGGTTTCTACATGGCAGCAGGGTCATTGATCCAAGTCACTTTGTCATTGATTTTGGCCAGATATTTCTCTTTATCTGCCATGAAAAATACACAAAAAAGCTGGTCTAGTGGAATGACAAAAATATCAACCAGTTGTTTTGTTTCACCCAGTTCTCTTTTCCAAATTGCTTATTGACAACCTGAAATTTATACTGTACCTGTAAGATATCCAAAGTAAGCTTCTGGGGAGAAATATTTATAGAGTTGTCTTTTCCAGCAAGAAATGGTGCTTGTTATCCTCTTTTGCTAAGCCCATAATGACTCCACATGCATTGATACTAATAGAACTGCAAATGCTCTCTGACCTCTTTATTGTTCTACCTAACCTCTTTATTATCATGTCCAGATTATATGGATAAATAGTAAAACTTATCTTAAACAGACCAGACTGCTAGTATGATGATACAATTTATTGGATGCCTATGTAATTCAAATACCAAATATAGCACGTGACATCTATAGATCTCTGCTAATGTGTCATTGTCACCAGTGTTTCAGAAGAAAATTTTTAAAGTAGAATACTGGTTTCCCCTCATTTACTATTATTTTCTGACTTTGATTTTTGGAGATGTATTTTTTTATTATTATTGATTTTTGGAGATGTATTTTTTATTATTTACTTTTTATCTATACTATGTTCAGGAAGAAAAAAATTGAAGTGAAATTATGTTACTGGGTCTAAATATCATGTCTTATTGTAGAATATCTTTGTACATAATAGAAGGTGGTACAAACTCCTTAAAAGATGGAGAAGTGGCACATGAACTTTTTTCTTTAGATATTTTTTTTTTTTTTTTCTGACATCAAATCTCCTTTTGGTTAAAGGCACTCCTATTATGGTGGAGCTGCTTTTGTGCTCAGAGCTTTTCATGCATTCTTTTGTTGTTGAAATCCTACTAAATGTAGAGCAAAATTACTTTTCTATCTCAATTACTACACTTAAACATATGAGGCATTCTGTTTTAAACTGCCTGGCTCTTAGATCAAGCATATATAAGAATGTTTATGTAAAATACTTCAATTTCCTAAAATCCTACTTCCTTTTCTTAAATGAATGCTTCCTATCCTAAACTCTTCCTCCACAATAGTTTTCTCGTAATTTTGTCATTTATGGTAGCTCAAAAATCCTATGTATTGCCTGTATATTTGGTAAATCAAAAGGAATTTAGTTAAAGGGTAGCGTTCCTGACTGGATGTCTTTTGTACTTATAAAAGAAAAAAGTTTCTTTGAGAAATTAAATTCATGTAAAAATTTCTCATTGCTATTTTTTCTCACCATAGATATGCCTGAAATGGAAATCCTGCCGGAATGTGAATCAAATTCTAATCTTTCTTTGCTTACATGACAGCACAGTGATTAATACACAGTTTACAACACACAAACAATACAGTTCGTAACATACACAGTTCATGCACCACACAATTAGGACACAGTTTGTTCTTGGTGATGAAAATCAGAATACCTGGTACTTTTATTGTGCTCATCGTGCCCTCCCCTTTTCACATGATAATCCTACTTGCTTTTATTTCAACTCTAAGTCAATCTATAGAAATAAGAAACAATGTAAGAATGATATATGTTGTGATTATTTTAGTAATTTTCTTCACTGCGAATAGCTATGTGATGCCCCCACAATTATGGCTACAATACTGTTTTCACCAGAATAACCAGAGTAAGTTTTAGTTTGGTCTATTTGTAAATAGCCTCTTTTTTTTCTTTTTCTCTTATTCTAATAACAAAAATTTGGTCACAGTATTCACCTAATATTGCAGAAAAATTTTATTATATATAGTTCTTGTTCTTTATCAGAGCAGTAAAACTTGAAACAGACAGATCAAATGGCAGTGGAAGATTGGAATTAATTTGGAGAACAGAAACTGGAGTAGGGCTGATTTCCTGGCCCTGCATTCTTAGCAAAGAGAACAATTTTAACCAGTTACAAAAATATTTGTGATCCATATGTTCCTTTCTGCTTACTCCCATATGCCCATATTCTCTTCTATCTTGGTGGATGATGACTTTATGATTCAGCCATGCAAGAATAATACCTCACTGATTTTAGAGCTCAATGCTATTTCAAAACGTGTCCTGGTAATTACGCACACCCATATATCCAGGCTGTTAGCGCTTGAGCTAGTTACGTGAATATCAGTTTGTTATTTCTTTCTTCACGAAAAGAATTATATCTTGCATCCTCCTACTGAAGCTAGAATAATGTGTCTAAGGCTTAGATTTTAAGCTGCATTGCCATTCTCCTGATGGATTAAAATTCCCTGCACAAATATGAGAGTCAGAAAAAGCCAAAAGTTTTGCAATAATTGTTGACAACCTCATTCAACTTGTGAAAAGGAGAATAGAATTCAAAAAGCATTTGGTAATACCGTATATCATGGATGTTTATTTTAAGGCATGTTAGATAATAGGTTTGTTAATTAAACAGCTCTTAATTTTAAGACATAGCAATTACTATTTAATATTGTCAGATATAGTGGTCATGATAAAACTTCCTAAAATTTTTAAAATTAAATTTTTCTGAGTAGCAGTTCATTTTTCTCTAAATTCATATTAGCTCGTTACTCAAAAAGTATGAGCCTTCTAACAACAAAAGATTGATATTTTAAGACTGGCTGTCCATTCAAAAATATCAATAAATCCAGAAATGATTGGATTTTTAACAGTTGTATGCCTCTTGCACAGCAAATGACTTTGAAACCCAGTATGTTGTTAACATGGTCACACTAGTGTCTGTGAGGAACCAGCCTTGCTACTTCAGCTTGTGGGGAGAGGATTTCTAGAAGGAGAGAAAGAGTTTTCAAGGGAAATCGCGGCCATTCCCTTAGTATTTTCATGGACTGAGATTTGACAGAAGAGGTGTGTATGCTTTTGGAGCTACCCGGTGAACACTCAAATAGATTTACTGCAAAAAGGGGAGAGATACAGGTTGCATTTGGCAAACGTTATTAGGAACCCAGTCTCTCATGTTTGCATTCAAGCGGTCTTCGCTACTGCTCCTGTAGGAGTTGCGAGAAAAAGAAAGTACATATCATAGCGTGGATTGTTTTCAACAGGCTAGGGGCTTGCAAATCTGCTGAATCCCTCTCACAGTGTTTTTTTTTTTTTTTTTTTTTTTGCTGTCAAAAAGAATGCTGAGCGGGCTCTTAACGGAGAGGGAGGGGTGTACTATGCAATGAGAATATTAGGAATTCTTCCCAAACTGTTAAGTGGAGAGAAAAGAGCTCTCACAGCCGTACCATCAGGAAAATTTTCTTGTATCTTGTCTCACTTTAAAAACTTTATAGATCATGCTCATTAAATAAAAAACTTTATTCCTCATTAAGGTAACTTTCATAAAGAAAGAGTCACAGAGTTAAAGTGTATAATATTAATCTATAATTAAAACAAAAGCTTCGGTTAAAAAAGAGGCAAAATTTGCTCATAGGTGATCTTGACTCTCACTGAGGCAAACACACAAGCATGCTTTTTAAAAAAAATACAAAGTGCGAGATTTCACTAAAAAAGGTTAAAACTGAAGTGAGTAATCTTCGGTGCATAATGCAATTGTTAATTTTAGCTCCTTGCGTGGGTGCCGTTCTGACTTGAACAGCCGGCTGTAGCCTTCATTAGAGAAGAAGCAGGCAGCTTGAGACAGGTGGAACTGAGTGGCGCTGTGAACGTGATTTGCTGGAAGCTGGTCATTAGATTTAGAAGCCCAGTCTCGTCTGTTTTGTCCTTCGCCCTGCCATGATTATTACAATTGTTGTTATTTACTGTTCGTCTTTTTTCAGGTTGACGATGATGTGTCACAGTGTGTAGGGGCACCACATGGAGATGGGCATTCCGCACTGTTGACGGGGACATGGGACTCCAGCTGCCTCTGATCATTTGTGTGGATTTTCTCGGTGTAGAACGACAGAAGCCGCTAGTAAGTCACCAAGACCTACAGCAGAAACTCTGCACGAAAGGTACAGGTTTGCTCTCATCTGCCTCATCTGTATTTCATTATTATGACATACATGTCCCTGCTTGTGTGGAGAATGGTTCAGTGACTATAACCATAATGGGCATGAGCAAGACGTTTGGCTTGTGGTTTGAAAAATTAAACTCAGTTTGTTCAGTCCGCTTTGAATCTGGACATGACCCGTTTTATTGAAACGCTTTCAAAAATGATTTAGGGCAACAGGAAGTCCTTTCTCCTCCCTCTACTGAAAGCATGGAGAAAATTTGATTTGCTATTGAAAAATCGAAATTTTTATTTTGTTAAGCACGTGTACTCATTGCCATTAAAATCTGAGAAAAATGCACTGATAAAACCTTGCCAAACGTAGATGGATTGCTCCCTGTGCACTCTCAGACCAAATCTTTGTCCTTTGGGAAAACTTTTCCTCTTACATTCCCACAATCCTTTGCCAAATGAGCCTGTGTATTTAAAGATACTATTACATACCATCTGTTCTGTCATGGTAGATTTCAGCAAATTTGCAATAAAAATTGCTATGGTGTCTATTTTTCTCCAGTTTCTTATTTCCAGTTGGAAATAAAAATTTCAAGTTACTAAATGACAATCAAGTACTCTCAAAGAGCATATTAAAGCAATGAGTTGTCTAATAATAATCACCATTGTAATGACTGAAAATAGGACATTCATTGCTTAGGAATTTTTAAGAATGGCTTTCTAAGCTGCAGTCTTTTTTTCCCTCCCTCCTTCTTTTAGTGTCTCTCTTCCTTCTTTTATTTCTTTCACTATACTTGTTCCCCTTCCCTCCCTCATTCCTTCTGTTATTCCTTCCTTCTTCATACCTTAAAAAAATGGGTAATTAAATGCTAAGTTATTCATGAGCCTCATTTGACAGCAATTCAGAAGTGTCAGGGATTTTAAGGAGGCATGGCAGAAAGAAATAATAGCAGGTTTTAACTTTGAAAAGCCATTTCTAGTGTGTGTACACAGCAGTCCCTTGTGAGCCTGGAATGCTGGAGTTCAGTGGTGATGGCTTCATTAGTGTCGCCTGCCAAAGCCTTCCTTCCACAGAATCTTGCAGCAGCATTACCTGGCAGGAGCCTGGGAGAGGATTCCTGTTTTTAATAATGGAGCTGTCAGTTTGAAGACTGACAATGTTGACCCTGAAAGATGTATAGCCAACATTAGATCCCATATTTATACTGAACTATTATCTCTCCAGTTGATTTTTGCCCTATGCAGAGTGTGCTGCACTTTTTTACCTAGGAAAGTAAATCTATGGTTGAAATTTTAAAACTAGTTTTGAGTCTTCTTAGAGATGCTAAGGACCATCGGTAACACCTTTTGACTCGGAAGTTGAGTGTCATTTGCTCAAAAGTTGGAGCAGCACCCTCATTTCCTTATTCTATTTTGCAAGGGATATGGGACTGTACTGTGTGGAAGTTGTGTCTCTGTTTAGAATTTGTTGACCCTTTGAATGGCAGGGTGTATCATAACTGTTCCTATAGGGAGACACCCTCATCTGCCACTCTTGAGTCCATTGAGTACTTGATTTCATCTTGGTTTATTCTTCTTTCTGTACAAAATTAGTGGGAATGTCTAAGTTACTGATTTGAACTTAAATATGAAGGGAGAATTGAATTTCAGCAATAATAGTAGATTTTTCACCTGCACCGATTTTGTTTTCTGGTACCTTACCTTCTAGGGCAAAAGGCTTTTTTTTAATTTGCATCTGTGAGGATGTCTGAGCAAGGAGACCTGAACCAGGCCATAGTGGAGGAAGGAAGGGCTGAGCAGGAGGTGGCCACTCCAGAGAATGGCATTGTTAAATCAGAAAGTCTGGATGAAGAGGAGAAGCTGGAGTTGCAGGTGAGCCGGGGAGACCCTTTTCCATACAGCGCTCTGTGCTATCCTCTTCCTGTTTATCTAGAATATTTACAAACTTTTTTCTTCTTTTTAAAGACATTGACAAAATGATTAGTAAAGTTTTAATAATAACCCTCTAATTTCTCAATTATTAGACTTTTCATGAACTATGCTCTGAACCATTTTTTAAAATGAAAAATATCTTTAAAAAAAAGCATTTATTGAATTTGCCTACAGTGTTCCTGTACCAATTGCTGTCTCACCTGGAACAGTCACTGTAGGATCTCAAAAGGGAGGCTTATGCTGAGTTTTAAATGGATCTACTATTTCACAGGAAGATAGAAATTCAGCTCATAGTTGACTAAAAATGGCAAACACAAGAGTTCTTTTGACCTTCATGGACATACTAAAGTTTAAATCTTATAGTGTCAACAAGTTTATGCCCTAGAAATACAGCTAGAGTCAGAACAGCAGAAGATGGCTTGGGAGTAGGAGCCTCAAGTCACTGAAGGATGCAGAAAATTTTGTGATTAAATGAACTATGATTTGCAAGACAAAGATTTGGTAAAGGGAGGATGAGTGGAAGTTGCATATAGGCTCTGAGTATGGATTTTTTGTGATAAATACAAGATATTAACTCTTTGTATAACAAAAACAAAGAAAGAACCTCAAGGCTAGGTTTTTTGCTCTCTATGTTTGTTAGAGAGATAAAAATGGAAGGAATGAGACACACACACACACACACACACACACACACACAAACTTATTGAAGTCTGCAAGTTCTGTAGAGTTAGAGCAAAAGAAACCCTTCTCGAGTATTTATGTCTTTTGTTGTTGTTTATTTCTCTACTATAGATAGCAGTGTTGCTGTCCCCCTTTCTCCCCCCTCCCATACTTGCTTGTCCTTTTACTGTTTCGTTTATTTTGTTTCTGACAAACAGAGACGGCTAGCGGCTCAGAATCAAGAGAGAAGAAAATCCAAGGTAAGGGTCTTGAGATGCTCCATAAATTACCACAGCATGGATATAAACTGCATATTTCATGTTATAGCTAAAGGGTTTGCAAAGAGTTCTAGTGGCTGTATGCAGATGTTGTGGTGAGTCCTGGTGCTGTCTGTTTTGAATACAATTGTGTTCAGGAGCATCTTTTTATCTTGCTCTATATACGTTTAACCAATGCATTTAGAGCTCAAACGGCTGCAAATGTATGTTTGTCCTGTTTTCATACTAGGAGACTTGACAAAACAAATAGTCACTTGTTTTGTTCTTATTTTAAGTGAGATTTGCAATAAATGTTTTAGTCCCATCAACTGGTTTCTGCCTTAAATTAAACAGATTCTACTCTTTAGTATCCATCCTTTAGCTTTTGTATCTTCTTGGTTGAATTCCCTCTACACTTATTTTAGTGAAAGTTATATTTGTCAGTTTTTCTCCTAATATTTCTATAAAATTAGCACAGATCATTCTTCCTGTATTTACAATGTGATGAGCACAATGAGCCTAACTCCATCCCCTCCCATTTACCTCTCCCTCCATTCCCAGCAACAGTCAGATGAGCTTACTCCCATGTATACCATACTGGGCAGCAGACCTGGTGCTCGATTTTGAAAGTCTGACTTGAGAGTGTCAAGCAAGTCTGGAGATGACTGGACAGCCTGAGAATGCCTTTTGTGTGTTTTTTATTTTCCTTTTCTTCCCCTATTTCTCCCTCCATTCTCAGTCAGGAGCAGGGAAAGGCAAACTGACTCGCAGCCTTGCTGTCTGTGAAGAGTCCACCAGACCAGGAGGCGAAAGTCTTCAGGATCAGGTACACCCCTGTAACTATCGTTAACTGCATGGGCCAGATCTGTGTTTGTGTGCATGATTAAATTGACAATAAATGGTTTTTGGGGGAGAAAAATACAATTTAAGAGAGAAATAGTTTCCCTGCTTTATCCCTAATTTATGAGAGATCCTGAAATAGTTTAAAAGTTTATCACAGAGTATTACATTTTTTTTTTTACAGACTCTCTGAAAACTGAAAACGGAAAGGAATTCAAACGAATTTAGATTAAAACTTAAATAAAAGTAAGCACAGTAGTGCCAAATTTCTTCAAAGGCTCTCTTTTGATAAGTTTGAACCAAATATAATATTAAGTATCTGTCTCCTTCCCTATTGGAGACGTCTTACCTCTCAGCTCCCTAAAATGCACTTGCCTATAAGAAACAACTGATGGCTCATATGAAACTTAAGAAATAGTGAATAAGGTGCATTGAACTTTGGAGAAATGATTTCATGGCCTTAGGTGGAGATTTCTGAATACTGTAAAAATTGTCCAGAAGTGAATCTGAGCTGATGGTGATTTAAGTTAAATTCATTAATATCACTGCATATACTTACCTCTATTTTTGCTCCTTTCAGCAAGATTATTTGGCTCTAAAACTTTAAATTCAAGCAAAATTTTTCTGTGACAAAATGGAAAACTTCACAGCATATTTATCTTTGCTTGCCATGTAGGCATTACATTAGCCTAATAAATTACCTTGCTGCCAAAGTTTTGCTCATTTTATTAAAGGGTCAGAGCAGTCAAGACAAAATCCATTGTCTAGAAATCATTGTAGATTTATCTGAACCCAGGGGAAGAAAACTTTTTCTTTGGCTTTATTTTGCTTTTTCTTTTTACTTTAATTAGAATATTCTACATTCTCTTCATCAGTACAGAGAGCATTGAGAGCACTTTCTTTAAAAGGACCAAAAATAAATTATTTATGGATTTTTGTCCTAAGAGTATTTTTTGCTGGCCTCATTTTCTTAACATGCCACTCATGTCCTAAGGCATGGACAAGCTGTCATCAGTAGCTATCACTACTTTTTGTACACATGCTTTCTTTTACTTGGGCTCTGAGACCGTGTGGCTTCTCTTCAGCAGTTTATCTGTGCTTCTATTTTTAATGGAGATTGAAAAGGAGGAATAATGTGAATATCATGGCTTGTATTATTAAATGTGGGTTGAAGGCTTGTAATGCACTGCACATGATATATGTTAGCTCTGCAGAATGATAGACCCCCGGGAGAAGTAGTGCCCCAGTTGTCCCCATTTCTACTGCCAGGCAGAGGAGGACAAACTTACAGACTCAGTGTGCTCTTTGTGCCATTTGACAAGACAGGATGAAAAATTCTAAGAGAACATCTGTATCATAGTACTCAACCTGGACCTAAGTCTAGTTTATAGCTAGTTACAACTGGTGTGGATAAATAAGATGCATTTGGTGCTTGTTCCTGCTGGTTACAAACTCAGACAGCAAGACTAGCTTTGGAGGAGAGAAATAGAGCCTATAAGCTTTCTATTTAGCTAGGGGAGGGGTGGTGGGAGTAGGGGGCTGATAAGAAATACCCAGGCACACATATATGCAAGTGGCCAAGCTACTCTTTCAGATAATAAAGAAGCACATCTTTGAGCTTATACGTAATGCCTTCATTAGATACCACCGGCACTTATAAAATGTGGACTGAATCTCAGAGAACAATGGCAGAAGTACACGGTACATGGATTGTATTGCTTTCCCAATGTTTGTATATTCACAGTATTTGGAAAACTGCCTTCATTTTCCTGTGTGGGAAAAACTCTTGCTACCTGTATTACTTGATCTCAGACCCCGTATCTGATGGTTCAGTCTGTCCTTAAAGAAAGTTTGCTTTTCTAATGTTACAGTATTTACCTATCAGTGTATTGCTGCAACTTGAATCATTTTGAATCATTCTTTTACTGTTGTTGGATATAAACTTATCCTGTATCAATGTATTTATTAACACTTGTATTTTATTATTGAGTATATCAATAAAAATATTAAAAAATTACAGATTGTTTTTTACCAACTGTAAAGCACTTTTGTGTGTTCTTTCAACACTATAATCTATATTTATGTATACAAAAGATATTTTTTCTGAGTATAATACTTGTCAACTCATGGCATCAGTGTGTACATTCTTTTGCAGTGACATCCTTATTGCCTGTGCCTTTGCATTTGAGATATATTTCCAAGACACTTGGATTTTGTATTCAGATTTACATAGGCAGGATGGATCAGCCCACTTGGAAGAAACAATGAGACCTGGTGACTTGCACTTTAACCTCCTGGTCAATCAGTTAATTTTTCCTCCACCACAACCCCCAGTCATATTTTCTTGTCCAGAAATGTGCAGGCAAATGTTTCTCTAACCAAACCAAAGCAAATAATAGCACTAGAAGCTACCTGAACCTTAATAGATGAAGGCATTTCTATAATCAAGTTGCACTCATTTTTACATATTTCATACATGTCTATCCCCAGGAAACAGAGGAAAGTAAAAAACTCAGCTTCAATAAATATTTATGTCTAGAATATGTTTTTATTTCATCCTCTGTATCTTAGAGCTTTTCCCTCACACATGACAACTTTATTCTAGCTCAGGTGGAGCCTTCTCTTACACTCTCCCCACAAAAAGAGATTTGGCTTCCAAACTTTCATTGAATGAAAGTTTTACCAGTTTCACCTGCCAGATTTGCCAAGAGCCATTATGAACTCCCAGAATGTCCACATTGCGAGGAGGTACAGGCATTAATTTAGTCACGTGTAAAAGGAAAATTAGCTTAGTTTTCCACAAGAGACACTATTAGTCACTGGGAATGATTTTCCTCTCTGTCATAAATTTTAACATCATAGCAGAAGACAATTCCCCACCAAGTGATCTATTACATAAGAAGAAGTGGGCTTAATGTGTCCTAATTTGTCACAGGTTTAATCATAGCACAGGTTTAAAAAAACCCTAAAAAACATTATTTGGTTCATTCTTCTTCAAAACAGTAAATGTACAATCAAACTATTGGCTAATATAACTAATAAAAATGATCTGTTTTAGCACAAATAAATAAATACAAAAATATACCCCTTTCTAATATTAAAAAGGGTCAATCATATCAAAAGTTGCTTCAAGAGACTCATATTTTGCAAAGAACTAATATTAACATAAAATAAATATTTTGTGCAATTTACAAAAATATATTCCTACTTCCCCATTTTTTCTAAAAGTCAATATTTATTATAATGATACATTAAAATGACTTCTCAATGCCATTTATAAACAGTTAAGGTAATCCATATGAGGGATTTCTATTATTACATAGTTTGGTGTTTCATAGGAGGAGGAATTATTGTTGACAAGGATGTAAAATAATTTCCTACTATAAATTGTGTATTGTGGGCTTTCTTCATGCCTGTTTTATCTATGATTATGATTCTTAAAATCTGTCTGTGCTTATGCCAGTTTCTCCCTATAATGAGTTGCAGGAAAATACTGAAGAAGCCATCTTTAAACATGACAGGGACTCTGATGCAATCTTAGTGACAGAGAAGTTTCTCTTAGGTATTTAAAAATAAGCATGTGGAAAAATCAAGAGTTGTGATCTACAGAAACTTAACTTAGTTAAGATTAATATTCATGAGGCAAAGTTTCAGTACGAGGTGTTTTTCCTGACCTCTCATTGACTTCTGAAGTTCTGTTCACTTTAAAGGGCAATTATTTTCTGACAAGCTTAATTTTTTACCATTTAAGAAAAAAAAATACGCACCTGGCTTTCATTTTTTGTTATTAATAACCTCTACACAAAATGGGAACCAGACAGAGATTACTAAATCTGGCCCTAAATTATTATATTTTTTCCCCAACAGGAAACAATTCATTTACAGCTTTCCAGTTTTCCCAGCCTGCACGAGGAGGAAAAATCTAGGAAAGATGACACTGAAAGAGAAAAAGAAAAGGATAAGAACAAAGATAAATCCTCTGAAAAGCCCAAGATCAGAATGTTATCAAAAGGTGAATGTGAAAAAATTTCCTCAACTTACCCAGGCTTATATGTAGACCCAGAGTACATTATAAACTGCAAATCACCTCCCAAAAACTGTACATGATTTTTTATTGATTAGATATGTGTTTGTAAAATATACAAAATTGATTTTCTTTTCTGTTCATGATCTGTTATTTGTGTAGCTAAAGAGGGTATTTTTAGAATCACATGTTTCTTTAAATTCAAATTGAATCTTATTTTTTAATTGCAAGTTTGTGCAAAATCTATTCTCAAAGTCAAGTTTATTAGACCAATCTATTTGGGTTAGTAAGCAGTATTGATAACCAGTTTGATATTTTAATTGTCGTACTTTTCTAAAAACCTGACTGCACCTGAGTAACAGCATCCCCTGCATAAGTGATATGGTCTGCAAAGCACAGGTGTGTATGTCATAGGAACCTGCTTGACATTTTACATGGCATAGACGATTGTGGTCTCCGTGCCTACATATCGTCACACAATTTCTCAATTTAAAAATACACACTCTGTTTTAATAAATAGATTTCTCCAAAAATTTGTTCTTCCTCAAACTGCAAACCTATAATTCAGCTCTTTTGCATTACTGCCATATATATCACTGTATAAGATAAAGCTAATTTAAGTTGAAATGAAGCATGTCATGAATAATAACTCTTTTTTAAAACCAGAAATGAACTCAGGGCCTCACACTTGCCAGACAGGAGCTGTGCATCTGAGCTACATCCCCTCTTCCATATTAGTATTTTGATACAGTTTCTAAAATGAAATTAAGAAAGAATTAGATATGTAACCAGTTCAGAGTAATAACTGCTTCTAATATCATGGTTTATGACCAAATTTTTACACACTATGGTTGTCTGTGCAAGTAAATCACTAAAACTCAAGGTGTAGGTAAAAGTAAAGAAGTTTGTATTTCTAAAACCATGTTAGAAATCAAATTTTATCCAATATCAACAGATCTGAAAGACTTGGAAATGTTGTCTTCCTGTTTTGTTCTGATTACTATTTAGATTAACACAAGAGAAGTTTTACTTTTACCTTCCCTGTTTTAAAGTAAAAAAAAAAAAAAAAAAACGGTTTCCATGCGATCTCAAGCTCATGTGCTCTGTATTGTGTTGGCAGCACCTGTCTGGGCAGGCCGTGCCAGGGCTGATTTGCCACATAGAGTTAACAGGGGATATTTACCTTCATCCTGTGCCCCCAGCCTGTGCCCATATCCCTTCTATAACACGTGGGTCTTTCACAGTCAAGGTCTTTTCAATCCTCAAATTTGATTTTTATTCTGATTAGATATGGCCAGGTAGATAGCTTTGAAATATGTATTTTCATATCAGTAACTTCATCTAGAATTTATCTGAGCAGAAGAGAAATGAGGAAGGTTGAGAAAAAAATCTCTTCTATCACCTCTTCCTGCCATCCTTTCTGACAACAGCACCCTGCTATTTGTTTCAGATTGTAGTCAAGAATATACAGATTCTACAGGCATAGACTTACATGAGTTTCTGATTAACACTTTAAAGAATAATTCCAGGTAAATTTTTAAATATGCCTTTATTTAAGCCTTTAGAGCAAACAAATATTGCAGAATTATTAATCCAAGCACTTTTAAGAAGCCATTTGTAAACAGGAGAGACTTTTTCTGACTTTTTAAACTATCTCCTGTGTTTTCTTTTCTCCTATTAATAGTTTGCATGTTTAATGTTTATAGACCATCTTAATTACTGTCTTGTCACCCTAAATAAATTGGAGTTTACCACCTTTATGTTCCTAGTCACAAAGAGACACTAAATAAACTGAAAGAAGTAAATAATGAATACCACCAATGTTGAAAAGCCAATTGTGTTTTAATGCAGTTATATGCCTAATTATACTGAATTTCTAATCATGTACATTTTAATAATCTTTCCCACACTTTAAAACAATTGTTTCTATCCTTGGAAAGTACATAAAACCTTTCACTTTAATATTTATTTTGCAGGGACAGGATGATTCTCTTGAAAATGGAACAGGAAATTATTGATTTCATTGGTGACAACAAGTATGTTAAAGTGCAACGCTGACTAATTTTATGACTTGTCTTAGTTTAGTATTTGGTTTAAATTATTCATTCTGGGAAGATTTGAAGATAGACAGAGCATTGTTTAATATGTTTCTTGATTTGTTAAGTGGCTATTTTATTGGAGTTGAGAATTATGTGTTGATGAGAATTGTTGCTTAGACCATGTGTGCTCCTGCTTGTTAAATTCCTAACAAAATGGCTATAAACAGGGGGCCACTGATTAGCATAGAGGAGCTGTAGCAAGAAGCAACCCTTTCATTTTTATTATAGTTTTTTAATGGGCTCCAGCTGGCTGCAGTCAGTTATGCCTGGAAATAATTGTGATGCTTTCAGTGTAAACCTGATAATAACACATCTCCAGATAGGCATCTACAATCAACATATTATGCTATATCATTTGTCCTCTGCCTGGCTCCATTGATAAGGTATCACAGATTAAAATAGAATACTCTCCAACAGATATTAAATTTTCTTTGGCAAGATAAATGTGCCACTATAAAAGAATGATATTTATTGTAGCTTAATCAATAAATTTATTGTAAGTGCAAATTTGTCTGGAAATAACATTAAGTGCTTACAGAATGAAGCATGCTTAGTGATTTGGATGAAAGAATAAATTTCAGACCTATACCTATAAAATATATGTCAGATTAGAAATAAAAATGTTGATTCCACTTTCCATTGTAACTCTGTTCCAGTAACCATTATAAAAAGTTCCCTCAGATGTCATCATATCAGAGGATGCTGGTCCACCGGGTGGCAGCTTACTTTGGGTTGGATCACAATGTGGATCAAACGGGAAAATCTGTCATCATCAACAAGACCAGCAGCACTAGAATGTAAGCTCTAGTGCTGTATTTATTCAGCATTTTATTTTTCTTTCATAGGTTCACTTATAAGAGCACAGTATAAAATACAAAGTACATGATATTTAAAATGTGCAGTGTTATTTATCTTTTGCTTCTAGTGGCAGTAGCGTGGCATTTATCTGTAGAAGATTATTTGAGAACTGAGAAAGTTTATAAAATTCAAGCAATAAAGCAAATTGATTTCTTATTTTTTTAAACCTAGTTCCTGAAACAATTTTCTTCCGTCGGTTCTCCACAAATTTACAAAGACATGGGAAATCTTATAATTCCAACTGAAAGTAACAGAGTTTTTAAAAACTTTACATAAATAGAATAAATATCTTTTGCCCTATTTTCTGATTTTTGGACCTATATTTTATAGTGATTTCTAGATTAATAGGAAGTACAGAGCCTGGAGACCAAAATCCTGCCTCCCATATAGTTCTTCCTCCAAGTTTCATGACTTGGCACAAGTTACTTAAAATCTACCACCTCAGGTTTTTTTGTAAAAATGACAGTTTTGAGCAAGATAATATCTATTTTAGCTATAAACGGTGATAGTTTGTTTATTGGTAATTATTGGCTTTCATCTTAGTATTGTTTCATTGCCTCACTAACTCGACAAAACCATGGGTATTTACTTGCTATAAAACTTGGAACTGTCTCTCTTAAACCCATATAACTTCTGAATATAATGCAAGTAGTTTCTCTAAGAGGAGACACATTAAATTCAAAGCTGTCTCCATGTACAGCGTCTTCTTTTATATTCCTTTTCCGCTCTGTGTTTGGTGAACTGTGTAAATGGCATGGTCTTTAGGAATGCCGGGTTGGTGAAGGGAACTTTCATGTCAGGCAGAATATTATGGTTAAATACACATTATGTTTTACTCAAGAGATTGGATAAAGTAGGGGTAAATATGAGGCTCTTTATCTGTTCAAAAGTCAGTCTCTTCTCAGCAGAGGTGGAGGAGAATCATAGTGCAGAGAATGCAAACTAGGAGATCAGGAACCAACTCGGTTACTATCTCAGAAACATGGAGATCACTTCTCTGGGCTTCAGATCACTTAGATATCTGCAGGACAGTTTGCAGTAGATAATGTTTAAGGGCTCTTGAAGCTTCAAAATCATTGTGTCCTGTGGTTGCATTCTACTGTTCTGGCAAAACACATTTTAAAATTTATCAGCTTTCAACTTTATATAACTGTTGACTCATGTGCCTCATATTTTTAATAGCATTGGAAAAGAAAGTCACTTTTCTTCAGTCCTCCACATATTCCTTCTCCACTAAATACTCCTGGTTGTTTTTGTTGTGCCACTGCTGTCATCTTTTATTCCCCATTCTGGATTTTCTGGTGGCTTTCAGATATTGTAATACAAATACATGCTGACTGCAGAATACAGAAGCAATTGACTATGTTCTTTTAATTTTTTCTCTCTTTCTTTTAAAATTGTAACATGGAAAAGCTTTTACATTGATTAGGCTAAGCTTGATATAGTTTCAACTGGTGAGTAGTAGATTTATTTATAATTTCAATTGTTTTTGCAATCACGTATCATGAATATTAGTACACATTCTTATAGCTTCTGAGAAAATTAAGGATTGTATAAAAACTCTTTGTGACATTGCATGAAATCTCTAAAACTTTGCTCCAAATAGGAAGGTAGCTTCATTTGGCTGTTTATATTTTTAATTTAAATTAATTAGATTTAAATACAATTTAAACTTCAAATTTAGTTTCTTCATCAGGCTGGTCACATTTAAAACTCCTACCAGATAGAGGATGTAAGGACCATTTCTATGATTTTAGGAACATTTACCACTCAGTTCTCTAAAATTTGTTTTCTATCAGTTCCCAAATGCCACACAGGATATAATTTGTTCTTTAAAACAAAGTTCTTAAAACTTTGATTATTTAATGGGCATTATATTACTATACTTCTTCACTTCTGGAATACCATCAGCTTTTTTGTTAAGGCCACTTTAAAATAGATGCTCTAGGAAGAATGAAAAGTGACTGCATGCGCAGTATCCCACTTGAGGGTGTGATTGCTACGATAGGAATGTCAGAGCTCAGTCTTTGTCTAGTCCCTCGCTCTGGTTTAGTGTCATTTATAGATCTTCCCATGAGTGAAAGTATACTTAAGTAAAAAAGAGAGAGAACTACAAAACATGTCAGATGGCTACAAACACGAATTGTTCAAGATATTTCCTGGAGAGCTGAGCTCCAGGTAGAAGGTTCAACCCAGAGCTATCAAATCCCTTTGTGCAGTTCCAGACATACTTCTGACCAGCTATTATCTGAGTGGCTCTCAGGTGAGAAGGTGTTGGTGGTAGTGATTTAGGGGAAACCCAGGCCTCTTAGGACAAGAAAGGAAGATGAATTAAATGTTTCTTTTTAAATAGTAACACATCAAAATTCTCAGGACCTGGATTATTGTTAGTTTTACCAAAGAGAAATAATGTTTTGTGACAATTATGGTACATAATTTTATTCAGAAAGTCTATTATCGTGCTCCTTTACAATTCAAATTAGAAATTGAGCATTCTCTTCAGCACATTCTATTGAAGACTTGTTGTCTTTGATATTTCTATTGCTATTGTTTTGGGGTTTGGGTATGGTTCAAGAACTGTATCATTAGTGCAGTTGACAGGGGAACCATTTGAATTTAGACTTATTACTGAATTGAAGTAGTTACATTTATTTAAAGTAGGATAACCAGGATAGGAATTCCTCAAGTGGATCCATGTGAGTTTTGTTTATCTTTTCAATCTATACAGACTTATAATATTCTAATGCAAATTCATGAAAATATTTATATTAAATGATTCGATGGCTTGGGAGAAGAGGAAATAAAATATAGATGTAGGGTATAAAAATAAAAGGTTATAGGATATAAAACACTTTATGTATTTTTAATTTTTCTTCACTGCTACTTCATTAGTATATAAGGTGCTCCTCTAACATTGATACATAAATAATTATAACAATATCAGCTACATATTGGGATTTGTTTCTCAACATCACACTTTTCATGTAATTATAGAATGCTAAGCTTTGTATGATTTGAGAATGTTAAACTGTGTGTGAAAATAGTTCTACACGACATTCAATATATTTATGTCATATAATACAGTCTGAGGATTGTGTGTGTATGTGTGTGTGCATGTGTTGTATTAACTTCTAGTGTTTTATATAATATTACCAAATATAGTACATTAACTGTTCCAAGATGGAAAGAATTTGTCTCAGAGCATACTTCTCAGTATTTAAATGATGCCATCACTTACTTATAACAGCATTCCCTAGTGTTTATTTATTACACTAGATGTTTTGGCCCTTGTTTCATGTAGAACACTGCATTCAATTCTACAAAATGAGTTTCATTTTGGTGCATGCAGAGGAGCAATGATTAGCAAGACTATCATCTAAATCAGTAGGTCTAATGTTAAAACAGTACTATTAAATAATCAAATTTCCTTAAGGGAAAACAATCTTCAGACTATTGAGCAGAATCCTCTAAATGAGTCCCTAAATTGGGTATGAATGCAGACTCTACATTTTTTATCAGATAAGACACAGTGATTGAGGTAGTCATTTTTCTTGACACTTTTCCAGATTAACTTAATGATATTATTAAATAACAGAGATGTCCTAAATTTTGATAGCTCTAGCTACATTTCCTGTGCTTATTACTGCTAAATGTATGATTTATTGAAGAAGTACATGCATTAAGATCTATCTGTGCTTTACGCGTTTTACACTCCTTTCCTACAAATTGAAAAGCCACAGTTAGCAGTGATGTTGTTATGGGAAATGAACCTGTTCATTGTTATCACGAAATGACTGCCTTACAAAACCCAACTTCCCCATCCGCAGGAGTATCTGGCAGCGTGAAACAAGGAAACAGGATGAAAAGATAGTTGAAATAAAGTCACTAGAAGTTTTCCATTACCATACTTAGGGTTTCTGAGGAATTAGTGAAGTGCTTGATGAAGACTGAGATGTCACATTTCCGCTGTCTTGTACTCCTGTAGTGCACACAGGCAAATCCTGCCAGATACTGCAGACATTTCTGGCAACTACAGCTCACCAGCAGATCTACATCCAGAATCCAGGCTCAGGCTCTCTGATTACACAAAAATGGCAAGGTAACATTTGTGTCGTGACAGGTCTTATGTTATGTTCACAGGCACAATGCAAATAACCTCAAAACCTGACATTTTCAAACCTTAAAAATGTAGTGCAGCTCTCTGTGGACCTATTAACAGGTACCTAGCACCTGCCTAAGGAACGGATGTATGATTGAAGACAATTCAAGTAAGTAGGAGAAAACACAAGTCAGAAATTATGGTGACCTCTGGCCTACCCACTTCACGGCTCAAATGGGCATTTTATAGGTCTTTGAGGAAATCTAAATCTTACATCTGTATGCTTAAGAAGGAAATACATTAAAAACTGAGCTATTCCCTATAAACAAACTTTATATTTATTTATTTATTTAGCATGTACTAAGTCTAGACATTCTGTAGATAATTGCATTTAGTTTTTACAGCTTTATTATAAAGATTTTTTTTAAAAAGTACTTTTTCCAATCTTATTGAAAAGACAATGTACTAATCAGCATGAGTTAACTGAGAAAAGTTATACTCACTACAGATGAGATAAGAACTCATATCATGATAATGTGCCCTCAAATTTAAGACTTTACAATGATTCTATGTGATGATTTTACCAGGTCCAGCAGGAAGTTACCTAAGACTAGAAGGGAACTTCCAGGTCCTAGTGTTTTAAAGTTACAGAACATTAGGATTAATGTGTATAACATGAGGCTTTAGAAAGATTAGCCTGGTATTGACAAGTGAGATGTGTGCAAGAGGAAATGACTAGAGGTAAAATACCTTGGCTGAGTATTGCTATCACTGACACATAGGGCTAGAATCAAGAACACCTAAGAAAGGCAGAAATGAATAACCGGGTTCTTTTGGAAG